CTGCAGGATGTACGGCGTGATGGTGCTGGTGTGCTCGTCGACGACCATGAGTGCGTAGCAGTGCCCATCGACGCCTACCACACCCTTGGGCGACCAGAGGTCGTAGTGCGACGAGCCCCCGAAGCGAGTGGCCAGTGGCCGGCCGGTGCTGCGCCGCGCGTGGTACTTGGCGTTCGCCTGCAGCGCGGCGTCGTCGAGGCCCTCGTTGCGGTCCATCTTGGAGAGGTCTGGCACGCCGTCCGCGATCTTGCTGAGGTCCTTTAGCGCGTCGCCGGAGATGCACAGGGCGTGCCGCCAGAAGGTGCCATCCGTCGGGCGCCGCCCCGGCTTGCCGCGCACGATGGCCTTGGCGGCGTTGGCGCCGACGGATGCGCCGAGCGGCATCAGGTGGATGTTGAAGTCCTCCCCGAAGTAGATGGTCTGCCCGGAGGGGTAGTTGAAGCGTGGTGGGCAGAGGTCGAAGCGGACCACGATGTTCTGCGCCTTGCACTCCTTGACGCTGACGAGAGGCATGGCGAGTCCGGGCGCGTACAGCGCGTTCACCCACTCGGTGTTCACAACCTTGGTGTCCTGCGGCTTGGTCGGGTCAGCCAGCGCGAAGGCGTACGCGGTGCCGACGCCCTTCGCCTTGAGGTAGTCGTTGTTTGCGCAGCGGATGTAGATGGGCTTCTCGGGCTCGCGCCACCCGTGAGGGAAGTAGTCGGGCGTCGGGAACATGTTCATGCCCGCCTTGGAGTCGACGCCAGCGGCATACGATCCCGGCATGTTCACACCGGCGGTCGTGTCGTACGCGTCGACGACCTTGACATGCCCGACAAGCGCGTGTGCCTGCATCGCGTCCATGCGCGCCACGTACATGGCGAGCATGATGCACGTGTACGAGAGGACGAGCGGGACCGTCTTGGGCACGTCGATGTCATTCACCGCGCGGAACATGTCGCCCGCGACCTTGCGGTAGATCGGCTGGAGCGGGTCCTCCTCGATGGCGTACTCTGCTCCGCCACCTGAGCCAGTCGCCGGCCCGGTGGACAGCTCGAGGGGTAGTGCGGTGACGGACTCGACCATCACGCCCATGTTCGAGGGCTCGTCCACGGCGTCGGCCACAGGCGTGCCGATCGAGGCAGGCGAGCCCATGTAGACCGGGATGAGGCACGCGAGCAGGACGAGTAGGATGGAAGCGCCGATGTACGGGCGAGGCAGCGCGGTGACGAACGAGGTGAACTTGACCCACAGCCCGCCGCGCGCCCGTGCCTCCGCCGCATTGCGCGCCGCCGTCTTGGCCTTGAGGATGGCGGGCGTGTCGGTGGGGTTGGAGTCGGGGAAGGTGTCCTCGACCTGGTCGGTGCCGACGCCAGCGACAAAGCCGCCGACGATGCCGTCCGGGTCGAACGTGCGGGTGACAGAGTCGGCCAGCGCCGCCCGCACCTCCTCGTGGTCGGTCGCGGTGGAGTCCGACTTCTTGAAGGGGTCGTGCGGGAGGGTGCGGCCGGGGGACTTGGCGCACACCTTCTTGTACGAGGACTGGGCCATGCGCACCTTCGTCTCGTGGTCGATGCGGTCGGGGAGTTCCTCGAGCACCTTGGCGACAGGGACCCCCTTGCAGATGAGGTCGCCGATGCACTTGCCACCGTGCAACCCATTGCAGTGGGGGCACGGCTTGCGCCCAGCGGCTGCGCGGCCGCCGCGGTCCCCGCCGCCCTTGTCGGACTTGATCTGCGCCTGGAGAGCGGCGACCTGGGACTCGGCGGCCGCGAGCTTCTCCTTGAGCACGCCTTGCGAGGCAATCTCCGCCTCGAACGCCGCCTGCGCAGCCGCCTTGGCCTCGTTGGCGCGGTCCGCGTTGTCTTGGTCGAGGATGCCCTGCATCGCGAGCGTGGACGCCTTGAGGCCGTACGTCTTGCCCGATTGCGCGGCGAGTTGGCGCTGTATGCCGATCTGCACGCGCATGTTTGCGCCGAGCGTGGCCCCCTTGGCGGCGATCGCGTCGAGGATGTATTCCTCGATCACCTCGTCGGGGAGGTGCCACTGGGAGTCCTTGAGCAACTTGTTCGCCTGCTCGATGCCCGTCTTGAACTTGGCGAGGCTCGCGGACGTGAGGTCCTTGAGAGCGTCGGGGGAGTACGCCTTCTCGAGATCCGCGCGCAGCGCCTTCGTGCGCACGTTCTTGGAGTTCGTGTCCTCCGACTCGATGAGCGACTTGATCGCCGCGATGCCCTTCTTGATGTCGTCGTAGTGGTCGGCGTCCTCGTCCGCCAACATCTCGGCGAGCGTGTCGTCGTCCTTGACGGCGTTCTGCAGCGCACCGTAGAGTTGGCGCGACAGAGTCACCGACAGGTCCTTGAAGAACTTGTCGATCATGGCCGGAATGAGGCCGTCCGCAGTGCCGATGTTCTTGTAGCGCACGTGCAGCGCGACCGCCTCGGCCTCGCGCTCCGCGCCCGGCCGGATGGTGCCCACCTCGATGATGTCGAGGAGGTACTTGTGTTGCTTCGCCGCGGTCCGCAGGTTGCGGAACCACTCGTTGAACTCCCGCTCGGAGCTCTGTTTGTAGGCCGGAATCACCAGCTTGTCCGTCGACGACATGTTGTCGTAATGTCCCGGGGATCGTTGCCCCGCCGCCACCAACTGTGAAGGTCTTCAGTGACCACTCACAAGCTGTTCCAAGGCCCGACAGAAATGTACTGTCAAAACTTTGTTCAAACAAAAGTCCTGGCCCGCGGCCCCCACACCCACAATGACTATCAATCCAGGCTGCGGGTGAAGGGCAAAACCGCGCCGCTGCAGAACGGTTTTTGCAAAACCGCGCCGCAGCGGTACGAAACTGCGCAGATGCAGTCCAGGGGTGGTAAGGACACTATGTGTGTGTGTGTGGCCGTAGACTAGACGGCTGCGCGGTCGTCGGTCTTCAACAGGATGCGCCGAGCGGCATCAGGTGGATGTTGAAGTCCTCCCCGAAGTAGATGGTCTGCCCGCAGAGGCTTCACCACATGCTAGGGGGGCGTGAGTAGAAGCGCGTCCCCCTCCCTGGAAGCGATGTGCGCCTGCTCCAGCCTCCCGCCGACGCTCCCGCCGACGCTCCCACCTCCTCTCCCGCCGCCCCGACGGAGGAGATGGCGCCAGCGCTGCCCGAGCCCGAGCAGCTGCCGCCGCCTGAGCTAGCCGCGGAGCCACCGGCCAAGCCAAAGCGCGGCCGCCCACCGGGCAGCAAAAGGCTCAAGCCGGTGCGTCCAACTGCGGGACAGCTCCGACAGCGTCTGGGTGGGGGTGGCCGCCGCCGTCTGTGCCGCCGCCGCCGCCTGCGCCTGTGCTGCCATATGCGCTCCCCAGGCGGCCGCCGCCGCCGGCGTGATCACGCCGTGTAGGAGGAGAGGCTGAGAGTATGTGTAGTAGAGTCCTGCTGGTCTCCTCTTGATAATGTCATAAGTGTGGCTGGTGTGTGTCAGAGCCTGACAGCACCCCGACAGCACCACCTGACAGCACCTGACAGCAACAGCCCAACGTCTGACAGCAGCAGCAGCCTGACAGCTCTGATAGCTCCGACAGCGTCTGACAGCAACACCCGACAGCTCCGACAGCACCCGACAGCTACAGATCCCCTCGACTGTCAGACACGCACCCGACAGCACCCGACAGCACTGACAGCACCTGACAGCTGGTCTGACAGAGGCACCTGACAATGCCTGACAGCTGCCCGACAGCCCGACAGATCACCTGACAGCACCTGACAGCCTGACAGCCAGGGCTCAGCGGATGGCGCTGTGCGCTGGTCTGTGAGAGGTTGAGGTGCGAGCCCTGGAGGCCCTGTGGGGATGGGGGGAGACTACCCGCGGGCCTAGAAGGCCCGCGCGCAGGGGGGTGAGACATTGAGACCGGTCATGACACGCATGTTGCGAGCAGCGTTGTTGATGTTTTGCGCATCGCCACAGACGGCGGCGCGAGAGAGCTGTTGCGAGTGGTGCTGGGCGAAGCCCCGGGCGCTGCCGGAGGCTGTGCCGTAGTCGGTGCGGTCGACGGCACTCGGGGTGCCGACCTCTTTGGCGAAGTTGAAGATGTTCTCTTCACACCTGCACAGACTTGGGAAAGGTGTCGACACGCGTCGTCGACATTGCGTTCCCATGCTTTTAGCCGTCCTTCCGCCGCCCGCCTTCCCTCGGTTAGTCGACCACCACGCTCATGCAAAGGCCGCGGATCCCTCGGCGGACATGCTGATGCCCGCATCCGCGCATGCCCAGTGGTCGCAGTTCCTTCCGTGTGCCACGGAGAGGAATGAGGTGCTCCACAACTTCACTGCGCACCATCGCTCACCGTGGCGAAGTCCACCGATCACCAGCCTCGGGTGCTTGCAGCACCGCTGCTTCCGCGGCGTCTTTGACGGCCGCGTACAGCTCTCGCACGCTGCTGTCGAGGCGCGGCGGACAGGCACTCTGGCGACGCACAACCGCTCTCATGAGCTCCACGACGCGGCTGCACAGCAAAGCTACGTGGAGCAGATGGCGCGGGTGCTGGCGGCTGAGTTTGGCGTCGACACCGCCGCACTGAGCGTGAGCACCCACCGCCTGAAGGCGTATGAGTCAGCAGAGCCCTTGCACCTCCCGAACGCGGGGGCTTTGCAGCACGGCTCCGAGCAGAACCCCTGCCCTGGCCGGTTTGAGCAGATCCACTGCGACTACTACGAGAGCGCGAACTACGTGTTCACCGGCGTGCTCTACCTCGGCGACGAGGACGCCGATGCGCAGCCTCGCGTCGGCGGCGAGACGGCGCTGGTCGACGCGATGCGGCACGGCAAGGGCGGTGAGTGCGAGCTCTCTCGTGGCGTGGTGGTCGAGCCCAAGCCGGCGAGGCTGCTGCTGTTCACATCCGGCGGCGAAAACTATCACGCCCCCCTCGCGGTCTCGCGCGGCCGGCGGACGACCTACCACGTGTGGTGGCACTGCGGCAACATTCCTCTGCGTCCGAGGACACGTGAGCTGCAGATCGAAATCCTGACGCAGGGGAGCGGCGGCGCAACCGCCGACACCGGCAGTCGTGTGAGCGTGCATTACCAAGGCCGCCTGGCCGACGGAACAGTCTTCGATTCCTCACGGCGAGAAGATGGGAGTGTGTCGCCCTTCTCCTACACCGTTGGTGCGGGTCAGGGCATCCGGGGATGGGAGCAGGGAATTGCCGGCATGCAGGTTGGCGAGGTCCGCCGCCTGACGATCCCTCCAGCCCTTGGCTACGGGGAGAAGGGTGCCGGCAATGTCCCGCCGAACGCCACACTCATCTACGACGTAGAACTTGTACGAATAGGAAGGCCGTATAGCCCGTAGAGCATGTCCCGATCGCCGATGTCCGAAACGCGTCCGTATGTTGAGTCTTGAGACCGTGAGCAGCGCAGACTAAGTTTCGCGTTTCGGCTTTCGCGCGCCAGCCCGTCACGCAGTTAGTGTCGGTCAGATGTGTCACACGTGTTTCTGCCTGGACACTAAACCGCGACATTACGGTATACACACACTAATATTTGGTACACGACAACACTAGAGTAACCAGTACGACGCACCCCATCGGTGTAGTTTCCCTCTCGACTTACACATATGGTCAATCGAAGACGATACCCTTGCCCAGTTCGGACTCTCGTACCCATATGACGCGGTCCTCCTCCAAGTCGAGCACCGAAGTGTCGCACTTGAGCGTCGGCAGCGACGGCGGCGCGGCGCTCGAGGCGCCGCGCGACCACAGCGAGAGGTCGCGCTGCATGTCGCGGCGCACCGCAGTGAGCTGCTCGTAGAGGGCGAGCGCCGCCGCGGCGTATGGCTGCAGCTGCTGCAGCTGCCGCCCCTCGTCCGGTTGCTCTGGCCGGCCCCGCTGCTCACGGCGCTCCTGCGCGCGCTCTGCGGGGAGCGCTTGCACCGCTAGGGAGGCGAGGCGTGCGGCCGCCGCCTCGAACTGGCGCACGATGGCGGGCTCGACCGGCGCGGGCGCCGGCTCGGATGGCAGGCGGGGCACGGCCCAGGCGCACGGCTGCTCGAGGCGCAGCACGAGGAGGTGGGCGAAGAAGGAGCGCACCTCGGCCGACCAGTGGAGCTGCAGGCGCGTCAGACAGCCGCGCAGCATGGTGGTCCGCATCTTGTCCGCCTGGTGGTCGGGGAGGAGGTCGAAGTGGCGGTAGAGGAACTCGCACGCCTTGAGCAGCACCTGCACGTGCTCCGAGTCGAAGAGCACGGCCATGCCGCGGAAGAAGAAGGCGAAATCGAAGGTCGAGCGCAGCAGCGGCTGGGAGAGGGGCGCCGCGTCGGCGGGGCGCATGCGGTCCTCTTGCAGCCGGTGGAGGAGCGCAGTCATCCAGCTGTTCATCAGGTTGAGCGTCGTGGAGACCGCGCGCACGTCGTGGACCGAGCAGCGGTGGAAGACGATCTTGACGAGCACCGAGTGGAGGTGCGTGCAGCGGAGGAGCTGGTTGGAGAGCTGCACCAGCGGCTCCGCGAGCAGCGGCGGCGGGCGGGCCGACATCTCGAGCAGCGTGCACGTGAGCAGCGTGGTGAAGCCGGGGAGCCGCGGCCACGCGAAAAAGTGGGGCGGCACCGTCGGCCCGAGCGAGTCGATGACCACGTCCAGCCACTCGGTGAAGAAGAGGCAGAAGAGGTGGCCCCGCCGGCCGAGCCGCTCGCGCCACGCGGGCAGGCGGAGCACGCCCGCGAGGTGCGAGGCGGCGCCGCGCTGCGCGGCCGCCTGCGCCGCGAGCGCCGCGTCGCGCTGGCTCGGTGCTCGGTACTTTGTTCGTGCGCCGAAGGCCCACGGCGCCTCGCCAGTCGGGCGAGGCATGCCGCCCCGGGCGAGGGCGTGCGCCGCGGCCGCCTCCGCGGATCTGTGTATGTGGCGCCAGTCAAGCGGCGGGTGGGTCGAGAAGCCGCGCTCCTGCAGCGCGGCGAGCTCGCCGGCGCAGTCGAGGGAGAAGGCGATGCCGCGAAACTCGGGGATCGCGGCGGGCTGCGAGGCGGCGAGGACGTCCTCGGCGTGCAGCGTCTCGATCAGCGCCGACGCAAAGGCGGGGAGCCGGAAGTAGGACATGGCCATGAGGCGCGCGCAGACGCCGAGGAGGTGGTCCGAGTGCTCGACAGAGGCGAGGTCGTCGAAGGCGACGAGGACGTGCGAGAGGGTGCGCTGCGAGAGCTCGAGCCAGAGGAGCAGCTGGTGCGTCGGCACCGCCGCGCCGCGCCGCGAGGAGAGCCGCCCCCCGGCGCGCCCGCCCTCGTCCTGCATCGTGGTCGAGATCTCGGCGCGCCGCAGCAGCTGCACCAGCAAGTCGTACGCCTGCGTGCGCGCGTCGAAGCGGAGCGCGCCCGCCTCGAGCGAGCGGAGCAGCAGCTCCCAGAGGTCGAACATCGTCTCGCGGCAAGCGGCGAGGTCGGCCGACGAGTCGAAGACGAACGACGCGTGCCCGCCGCGCTTGTGCGACACGGCGAGCAAGTCGCTGAGCTCGGCCACCACCCGCTCGCGAACGAGAACGTCGTCCCTTGCGAGGGCGCGCGAGAGGCCGTCGCAGAGCGCGGCGAGCCGGCGGGCCTCGAGCAGGGATCCGGCGACGCCGACGCGCCTCCGCCGGCCGGCAGAGGAGCCGAGGACGACGGGGGCGGCGAACTGCGTGCCCGCCTCCGTGAGGGTGCCATACGCCTGCTGGACGACGCTCGGCTGCTCGAGCAGCTGCATCTGCCCCTCGCAGACGCCGACCACTTTGCCGTTGAGGTAGAGGTCCTCGCAAAAGCTGAGCCCGACCGGCTCCCCGGTGACGGACCTCGTGATTCGCCGCTCGCCTCCGCGCCGAGCGCCGCCGCCAGCGCCGCCGACGGCATCGCCCGCCGCGCCCCCCCGCGTGGATCCTCTCGCGTCGCCCCGACTCGCCGCCGAGGCGGACACTTCGGGCGCGGAGCTGCAGGACGCCTCGGCGACTCCCTCGTCCGAAGGGACGCGGACGAGGCGGTGGGCGCGGCGGCGGCGGCGCAAGTCTGAGCTCTCCGGAAGCTGCGCAAAGGCCTTCTCCATGACCACCCACGCCTTGGCCGTGCGCCCGTCCTCGCGGTGCGAGCGGCGGGCGAGATCACCCTCGCCCGCCGCCTCGCCCACACGGTCGCTCACCGACGGCGGCGAGACCGCGCCGGCCGGCCGCGACGGCGAGGAGTGGGGCGGCGGAGGCGAGGCCGGCGGCGCTGGCGACGGCGGCGGCTCGGCGCGCCAGCCGTCGGGGCCGACGTTGGCCGCCGCCGACGACGAGTTGGAGCGTGTCGGCGGCGGTGGAAGCGCGCGCGCAACGGCGGCGGCGCTGTCGGAGGACAGGGCGGAAGCGGGCAGGCTACGGCCCAGGGGAGGGGAGCCGCGGCGCTCGGGCGGCGAGGAGGAGTACCTCTGCGACTGGTGCCACCGGGCGTCGTCCGGCCCGCCCTCTGCGCCCGCCCGCCGGCTCGACGCGCGTGCGCGGCGCCCTTGCGCCTTGACGTGGTCCGCGCGGTGCCAGGTGAGCTCGATGCGCAGCGCGCCGTGCCGGAGCTCCCAAAAGGCGCCGTGGTGCTCGATGGCCGGCAGCTCGTCGGGGCCTGTTCGCGGCACGCCGCGGGCTCAGTGGCGTGCGGACGCGCGGCGCGGACGCCGGCCGAGGGCGGGCTGCCGTCGGCGTCGGCGGTGGGCGGCTGCGCGCGCCAGAGAAGCTCGGTGCCGTCGCGGCGCGGCATCTTCAGGCGGGTGGTGGGAGAGTGCCAGCTCGACTCGATCGAGGTGCCAGAGGTTGAGCCGGAGGTGAAGGTGTACGAGAGGCTGAAGAGGACGGGGCCGCCGCCGCTGTCGAGCGCGAGCGCCTCGTGTGCATCGGAGAGGAGCCGCAGCGAGAGGACGGAGAAGGAGAGGCGCCACTCGCGCTGCTCCGACACGCGGCACTGGAAGGCGATGCGGCCGCCGCTCGGCTCGCCAAACGGCGAGAGCAGCCTGTGGTCGTTGAGCGCGGGGCCGCACACGACCGCCTCGAGCGGGAGGGACAGGCGGCCCGCCTCTGCGCCTCCGCAGTAGCAGACGATGCGCAGCCGCTCCTGCTCGAGGGCGGCGAGGCTGACCGAGTCCTCGAAGCGGAAGACGCCCTCGAAGCCGATGACGTCGCCACACCCCTCGACGGGCGCGTGGGCGAGCGCCGCCGGCGCCGCCGGGTGGGCGCGAAAGGTGCGCGCACGCTCGCCGCGACCCCACCGCACCTCGACGAACGGCGGCGGAGGCTCAGAGGCGAGGCCGAGCGTCGTGGCGAAGCTACGCGCAAGCCGCAGCAGAGGCAGCGCGGGCGGCTGCAGGTTGCGCACGACGAGCGACGAGAGCGCGACCTGGAGCACCAGCGTGCCCGGGTCGCGGCGGCGCGGCGCTCCCAGCAGGCGTGACTCGCTGTCGATCCTTGCGATGCCGAGACCGCCAGCGCGCCCGCTCCGGGCGATCCCGACCGCCGCGGCCGCCCGCCTCGCGAGGCCGGAGGCCGCCCGCATTGTGCTCGACGACGACGAGATCGTCTGCAGGTAGATTGCGAGGCGGCGGCGGCGGCGCGCATGGCTCAGCTTCAGTAGCAGCACGAGCGAGATCGCGACCAGAATGAATCGCAGCCGGCGGCGACGCGCCGTTCGCGCGAGGCAGGAGATCAGAGCCGCCATTGTCCGAAGGCACCAAAGGCCGCTGGTCGGAGGCTGGGCTGTTCGGCGGAGGAGGGTTGCTCGAGGTACCATACCACACCCCGCAAAAAGTCCGAACCCTGCGGAGGGCCTATGGAACGTATCAGTTTTCACACAGTCCACGCCTGTGTGATGCACCTGTGAGCGGGGCGGGGTGCGCACTGTGCCTCTGTGTTCGTGCGTCGCCCATCTCTCCTGGAGATGACTGCTCTATTTATTTGGAGCTGCCCGCGATGACTTGCAGAAGTACTGGGTCGCCGTCTCAACACTGAAAAAGACCTCCAAGCCCTGGGAGCCCTCCCCCTACTGTTTTACAACAAAGCTCCCTCTCACGACACCGGGCACGGGACCGGCGCGCACTCGCACTAAATAAGAACAAGATTCGAGCGCAAAGCGCCAATATCGCCCGCGTCGCGCTCTCGGCGGGCAATATGAAAAAAAGAAATTTTGGTGTGTCGGTGGCACGATTCACATCGCCCCGTCTCAATCCCTGTGTGATGGCGGTGTGCCGTTCTCCATCCCTCCCTTCGACGGAGTTTTCTTCTTTCTTAATAAAATTCTCTTTCTTTGGACTTTGCCCCGTCTCAGTCTCGGAGAAACGACGGCGAGAGCGACGTGGGGCATGCGAAGCGAACCCACCAGCATGTGCGTGTGCGTTGTGCGGGTGGGTGGGGGGTGTGGGCACCGAAAGCTGGGTGGGCAAGACGAATCGAGCGCGCAAAAGAGTCCAGCGTGGGGCAATCAGGCGACCAAGCTCGCCCGTGTGCTGAAGGCGACCTGGCTTGCTCGTGACATGGCAACGATCGTCGCCTATCCAAAGAAGGCCGGGCCGGTAGAGGCGAGCCGGGGGGAGAAATGACGGCCGTCCGGCGAGCACCTGCTTCACGTCCATCCCCGCCCTCTCCTGAGCTTCGCGAGACGCCTGCGCCCAATCGACCTGGCTGACCGACCACGAAAGCACCACCACCTTGAAGATCTCGCCTATCGAGAAGAGCGGCAGACGCGAATAGGGGCGGTAGCGGCCAATCCGGCGACTCGAGACTTGGCTTTACCGGACCAGTCGGACCACCAAAAGCCGGGCAAGCCCCAGCCCCATTTGATGGGCATGATGTACGCAAGCGGGATGTAGATCAGCCACGAGGCAATGTTGTTGGCAACGAGGTTGACTCGCGCCTAGTCCAATACACCAAGGGCGAGGTCGCTCCTCAGCTAGCACCGACTACAGGGAACCTCCAGTGCGCACAACCGCACCTCCTTCGGCCCGAGCGACACACTGACAACTGCGAGAAGAAATCGGCAGTAGCACGTCATCACCGAGGCCATAAAGGCAACGAGCGTTGAGTTGCACAGAGCGATGAGCTCGGGGTCCGAGCTCCAAATCTGCCACACCTTGTTGTGCGCGACACCGAGCACGAGGCAAACGACGACGCCACCGAGGAGCAGCGTCGCTGAGCCAAGCTTGAGGATTCTTTTTGCAGACTCCGGCTTGCCCTCGCCAAGATAACGCGCGAGCCTACGCCAAGCAAGGCTGTCATCGCGCGTGCGCGAAAATCGGTCGCCGCACACTGTCATGCGCGCGCCGGATCTGCGTTGCCGTCGAGAATCCGGACACCGTCGAATACGACAGGCTGAACAAGCCCGTGCAGACGTTTTGAGCTGCAGCAACAGACGTGCCTGCAGCACGAGACGGCAGGGGCGAGACGTGGAGATCTTGCGCCCAGCAGGGCAGGTGCAAGCGTGTCTGTCAGGAATGGAGTCGTCACCTGCCAATCCCGCAAACGAGCCCGCGACGGCGCCGGAGAGGGAATCAACGACGGCGGAAAGGGCCGTCGGAGTGCCGAGCTCGAGGAAGGTGTGGAGACGCCTGATCCATCAATGGAGCCCGGTCGCTAGATGAGTCTGCGCAGAGCTAGCTCTTTGTGAGAATGGGGCACCCCCAGCTAATTGACTGCATCGACCAACCAAACCAATAGTCCTTGTGGTAGCCTGCGCGACAAACGGTAGTGAGGAAGGACCTCCACCCAACAGGGCAAGCCCGCTGCGAACCTCTTATGACAACAGCATACAGCGTGAAGACGGTCAGCTGGACGCAAAAGGACAAGACCGTGGCGAGCGGCGAGCCTACACGCAAGCAAAATATGGACGAGGTGAACAGCGGCAGGCGGCGTGACAGCCAGGCACAAAACGGGGCCAGTGCCGATAAACCCGAGGCCCTCAAACGAGCCGTAGCCATAGATGAAGACGTAGTTGAAGGTTGCATTCGCAACCACAGTGATGCACGTGGCAAACGTCGCCGGCAGCATGATGCCGACGGTCGCGAACCTCCCAACACCCTCTAGTTTCCTCGGGAAACCCCGGGGAAACTCCGTGGAATTCGTCATTTTGGGGGGGGGCTCTGAGCCGTGTCTGAGGCTGTTTTGGGGCCAAAATCGGCAAAATACCGGGTATTTTGCGGGTATACCTGGAAAACCCCGGTATACCTGGAAAATACCTGGGTATCGTGCCGATTTCCTCAATTTTGCCCCAGATTTTGCCCCAGAGACCAGCTCTCAGACTCAGGGAAACTCGCGAGTTTCCCGAGGGAAACTCGAGAGAAACAGAATGGAGCACCAAACACCCTCTGGTTTCCCTGGAAACTTCCGGAAACGCAAAGTGCTGGGGACCCTCTGGTTTCCCTCTGGGTTGCCGGAAACCCTCGGAAAGGCCAAGGTGTACCTGTGTTAGTGCCAGTGCGCGCCAGTCCCGTGCCTAGTGTCGTGCGAGGTGTACGAAAGAAATGGGGGCGAATTCCCATGCACACTATGTACCTACGAAATATTCCTCTCTCTCTCTGGTGCGCTGACTGCGGCGGTGAAAAACTCTTTCTTGGATCGGGGCTTTGCGAGAGAACACAGATCTATCAATTAGAACTCCGATTTTTAAGACCCTCCGAGTGGTGTGAGCTCAAGGAGCACTTGGAGCCGATTCCTGACACTTGGACTAGCGCACACTGTCCCGTGCCAAAGAAAAAAAATAGCGCATCTCGCTCGCGCCCGCCCAAGCGGCTTTTCGAGCGACCACTCGTCGCCTCCCCGCGCCGCCTCCTGCTCCATGACGACGCTCCCACCGCCGTCCCTGTGGCGGATGTACTTCCCGACCGCGACGGTCGAGGGCGAAGATCCGTCTCCAGCCTCTGCCGACGAGGAAGCCCATCCCGGCCGCCTCATTCTCTACGCGCGGCTTCGTTCGTGGGTGCGCTCATCGGGAGCGTTCGCTCTCTTGAGTGCGCAGGACGTGCTCGCGTCGCACGGCGCGGTGAGCGTCGCCTTCGCCGCGCTGCAGCGCGGCGAAGGGGCCCCTTTCCGCCGATCCGAGCACCTGGGTTGCGGCGACCTTGCCTGCGCGGAGATCCTCGATGCCCTCGCGCTCGCAGTGCACGACCACCTGCTCGAGCGGTGCCCGCCGCCGCCCGAACCGGAGAACCTGCGCAGCCGCCTGCGCGCGAAGCGGCTGCGGATCCGCGCCCAAGGCCTCGCGCCGCCCACGTCCATCCGCTCGCTCAAGGCCGACAAGATTGGAGCGCTGGTGTGCGTGCGCGGCTCCGTCATCCGGGTGTCGCCGCTACGGCCGCTCGTGACGGCGATGAGCTTCCACTGCCCGCGGTGCGGCGCGAAGTGCAGCATCCCACTCGCCGACGGCCGCTACGAGCAGCCCGCCGGCTGCCCCGCCCGCGGCTGCCGCGCCAAGGCGCTGCTCGCCAACCGACGCCAGTCGTCCACGCGCGACTGGCAAAAGCTGCGGCTGCAAGAGGTGCCGGAGCCGGGAGCCGCCGACGCGCTGGCCGCCCTCGGCGCGGCGGACGACTCGTACGGCCGCGTGCCTCGCACGGCGGAGGTCGAGCTCACCGACGACCTCATCGACTGCTGCGTGCCGGGCGACCACCTCGAGGTCGTCGGCATCGTCAAGTCGATGGAGGTGCCGAACGACGGCGGCTCCGGCCGGTTCGGCGGCGGCTCCAACCGGCCGCGCTGCATGTACGTCCTCTACGTCGAAGCCGTCTCGGTCCGAAACACCCGCTCGTCGCAGCGCGCCTCCGCCGACGGCGCCGCCGGGGCGGACACCTCCGACGGCAGCCCTGCCGCAGCAGTCCCGGCCGCCAGCCTCGGCGGCGGCGAGGAGGGCGACGCGCGGCTCAACTTGACCAACCTCGACCTGCAAGCGATCCGCGATATCGCGACGAGCCTCAACGTAGGCCGCGCCCTTGCCCGTCGGCTCGGGCCGGCGGAGGAGGTGAGCGCGGAGCCTGACAACAGGTGTTTGAGCTGCTCGTCGGCTCGATCTGCCCCTCCATCTTTGGGCACGAGGTGGTCAAGGCGGGCCTCCTCCTCGCCCTCGTCGGCGGCCGCACTCGCACGCCCTCCGACCGCACCATCGGCAAGCGCTCGGACATCCACGTCTTGGTCGTGGGCGACCCGGGGATGGGCGCGCCGCAGAGGCTGGCGATGGTGCGAGCCACAGCCGCTTCTGACGACCCTCGCGCCGGCCTCTAGGCAAGTCGCAGATGCTGACTGCTGTCGCCGCGCTCGCCCCCCGCGGCGTCTACGTGTGCGGTCCCGCACCAAGTCGCGCCGATTGGGCGCGTCCGCCAACGCCGCCGAGGACACGTCGTAAGTCGGCCCGTAGGGAACACAACTTCCTCCTCGGGCCTGACTGTCACCGTCGTCAAGGAGAGCCGCCGGCGAGGCCCCGCCCCGTCCCCTCCCGTTGCGCACGCGCCTCTGGTCTCGCGCTAGGACAGCATCACGGGCGACTTTGCACTCGAGGCGGGCGCCTTGGTGATGGGCGACCAGGGCTGCTGCTGCATCGACGAGTTCGACAAGATGTCGTCGGGGGAGCATCAGGCGCTGCTCGAGGCGATGGAGCAGCAGTCCATCTCGGTCGCAAAGGCACGCGTCACGCCCGCTCAGACGCCTCGCAGCCTCCCTTGCGTTTGCCCACACCCGCGCTTCCGCCCGCAGCCTCGCACACAAGTGTGGGGGCTCCACCCACTGCGCCCCCACCCTCGCCGTTCGCGCAGGCGGGTATCGTGTGCTCGCTCTCTGCACGCACCGCCGTGCTCGCGGCCGCCAACCCCGTGGGAGGTCACTACAACAACGGCAAGACGGTCGCAGAGAACCTCAAGCTGCCTCCCAACCTCCTCTCGCGCTTCGACCTCCTCTTTGTGTTGCTCGACCGGCCAGACTCGCAGATGGACCGGTGCGCTCCTCCAGATGGACCGCGACGAGAAGAGCTGCGTGCCAGCCCCCCCCGCCCCCCCCTTCGCCCCCCCCCAGGCTCCTGGGCCAGCACGTCATGGCGCTGCACGGCGGCACGGCGACGCGAGGTACCGCCGGGCTGCTCGCGGACGCTGCTCCCTCCGCTTGGGCAGACTCGGAGGCGTACAAGGCTTGGAAATCGGCGGATCGAGGCGACGTGCCAATCTCTGTCCGGCTGCGTGAGGGGGCCAAGGCGGCCGACGGCGACCCCGTCCCCGCGCACATTCTGCGCAAGTACCTGTCTTACGCGAGACAGTACATCCAGCCCGTGCTCTCACGCGAGGCTGCCGAGGCGCGACGCCGCCCCCCGCCCGCCGCCTCGCTCGCTTGGCCAAGGCTCCAGCCGCCGCGGCCCGCAGGTGCTGCGCGACTTCTACCTGCAGCTGCGCCGGGACGGCGCGTCGGCCGAGTCGGTGCCAATCACCTCGCGGCAGCTCGAGTCGCTGGTGCGGCTCGCGGAGGCCCGCGCACGGCTCGCGCTGCGCGAGGATGTGACCGTGGAGGACGCGCGGGACGCCATCGACCTCGTCAAGGAGACGGTGTACTTTGACACGCTGGCCGACGTGCTCGGCGCGCCCGCCGCCGCGCCCACCTTCGGAGGCGGCGGCGGCGGGCGCGGTGGCGCGATGTCGGTTGCCAAGACGATCAAGAGCTTCGTGTCGTGCCTGGAGAAGGACGCGCACCAGCGTGCGGACGCCATCTTTACGCCGAGCGCGCTGCGACAGGTCTTCGACGCGTCGGGCCTGCGGCTGCCGAGCACCCAAAGCTGGGAGGACCTGATCGACCGGATGAACTCGGAGAACTACATTATCAAGCGCCACGGCGTCTGGAAGCTTCAGAACTCGAGATATGCGCAGAGCTCCAAGTGGCCGACCCCGCCGGGAGGCTCCCACTCCTCCTCTGCACGGCGATGACGATCGCTAGAGGGCGGCGGGGGGGCGGGAGGGGGGGGGGGGAGGCAGCACTCTCTGCCAGGACACCGGGCCGATCTCTCTCGTGCTAGCTCGTAGCTGCCAGCGTGTGGCTGTGTGGGCGTGCGGTGCGAGGGCGAGAAAGAGCCCGGGTGACGGAGAGTACGTAAAGCCGTACGTATGTTCGTATCTTGCCCATGTTGTTGTATGTTTTGATTGTGCACAAATTGTGTGAGTCTAAGATACAGCCAGCGCGCGCGCGCTCTACGGTTGGCGTTTTGTACGTATACCATACACGGCCCCATGAAAAACGCGCGCTCTTAGCTAGCGCGGTCGCACGTCGCACGTCGCACGTCGCACACACAAGCAGACAGATTGTACCTCTCACGCCCCCTGGCCGCGCGCACCATCCAACGCACAGCCCACAAGTGGCCGCAATCCCTTCTGTACTCACTGGGCGTTCGCTTGGCTGTCAGAGTCAGGCGCGAGAGGCGCCTCCGCGAGTGGGCCCAACCTAGCCGATGCAGGCTCCTCACCGCAGCAAGCTCGAGCGAGCGCTCGGGTCGGCGGGCGGCTTCTTGTCGACCGTTTCTTCAGGGTCAGGCTTCGTCCATCCGTTGCGGCCGGTGAGCCCTGAGCCTATTTCTCAGGAGAGCAGCGTGAGGCTCGGAACGACGCCACACCAGCAGCGCGTGCGAGGCGCGCCAGAGTAAACGCCATCTCCGCCGCCCTCCTCGCGGCGTCTCCCGCCGCCGCCGCCGCCGCCGCCACCACCGCCGCCGCCGCCGCCGCCGCCGCCGCCCCCGCCGCCCCCGCCGCCCCCGCCGCGAGACGGGTTGAATTTAAATGTGCCTCGGCCCTTGCGTTCCAGTGGACTGTCAGTGCTTGCGACGCTGCGTTTCCGCTGCTGCTTCTTGATGCCGCGCTCGCTTCCACCCTTGAGATTCTTTGGACCGCCGGCCTTTTTCTTCTTTTCGCTCTTGATGAGGTCGTCGAGCGAAAGAGAGAGGGAGCCCATCGATGCAGCGGTAACAGGCACAGTTGTAGCCCAGCGATTAGTCGGCCCCGTAGGCGCGGTAGAGCGATTCAGGACTACCGCTACCGTTCACACCTCGCTGCGCCTTTACCGCTACCGCCAGAGGCCGCCCGCTGTTTACCGCTACCGCTAGACCCCACTCACTCAGTCACTTATAGCTGCAGCCGGCCTAGTCGACTTCACGTTTGCGAGGAAAAAATAGAATATTCCTGGGCCGAAAAAAGAAAAAGAATAAAAAAGCAGAGTGCATGACGGATAACTGGTGTATGAAGCCTCGAAGGCCCTTTTAAAGGAGAAAACAATCAAACGAGAGAGTAAAAGAAAGCGATCTGCGGTCCGAGATCGATCTGCCCTCCAATCCGTAATTCCGTAAAATCGCGTAAAAAGCGCCCAAATTGAGCGTGGAAGCGGCTCCAGCCGCCTCGGAGCGTGCCCCAGCTTGCGGCAGGCGATACACTGAGGACTTTTTCGGCGACGGATAGCCGACCTCAGTACGTTCGAGGCTGTGCTCTTGCACGATACAGGCGCGGTGCTCGACGCGATCCGAATCACCGCTGCAGCCGCAGAGGCTGGTGGCGTGCGGCGGCTTATGCCAGCTCGGCCACGAGCAATGGTTGTTGTGTCCCCAAGCAGGTTTGCTACCGCTGGCGTAATCTCTGTGCAGCACAAGGGCAGCTTCTCCCGCACTCTCGTCAGCACAGACATGCAAACCACGCTAAGGGGCTCGGACATCCATGCAGCCGCGAGTGCTAAGATGCTGCTCCGGCAGGAGTTGGAAGAGAAGTTGCGGTCACGGTTAAGGAGCTTCTGAGCAGCGCTCTGCGAGCGCTGTGAAGAGGGCGCTCGCGTCGGCGCGGGATGAGCTTGCTGCGGCACAAGAGCTGAGGCGCTCCGACAGCGACAACCTGAGGACAGCGCAGCAGGCTGCTAAAGTAACGCGACATCAAAGCGGCCGAGCGGATGGCCGACGAGGTAAAACACGCAGCTCGAGCTGAGTGCGAGTGGTGTATCGGCGAGATGCGTGCCAAGATGCAGGCTGAGCTGCGCGAGCAGCTCGACGCGCTGCAGATTTCGATGGAGGCAGAGGCGAGGCGCGCTGATGCCGCAGCCGAGGCGGAGTGGCGGAGAGGTCAAGGCGCTGTACAACAAGATGGAGGGGATTATATGCACACGCGTGAGGGGTTGATAGCCGCAGAGGCGCAGCTCGGCAAGCACGAATATAGTGATTGTTCAGAAACACATACGGAGCTTTTGTTCCCCCTCCCACTGTGAGCCTGGGCCGCCCGTGGACCCCAGAGAGCTGCTGCGCGTGCAGAGCACAGGCCACAGCGTTGCGCGAGCGTTGGAGAGGCCAGCCTCCGGCTTCTCAGCGTGTCGCGAGTGCTGTGTCTCTATCTGCCTGGTGGATGGGTGTGGTGGGGGACTCCTGGTGGCTTTTGGTTACAAATTTACGGAATTACGGATCGTTTTTACACGGATCGACGCACGGCGCGCACGCCCCCCCCTCTCACCTTGTGATTTTTGGGTCAAAATCGTCCCGATTTCATAATGTTCGTTCGTACGTGCATCCGCGGTGCCAGCGGCTCCCATACCTCTAAGAGGCCACCCACCTCCGTATAGACCCTTATATCCGCGGTTTACGCCCAATAGAGGCAGCTGCAAGAGGGCCCGGACGGGCACTGCGGCACACACTGCTCGCTGCTCGGCCATGCGGTAGCGTCTGGTGATGCCGCCCCTGCGCGGGCGGGGGCGTCTCGCTCGGCAGCAACTGCGCCGCGCAGCGCAGGTTCGAGGGTCGCGGTGGGTGGGTGCACTGGAAGACGTAGCGGTCGAGAAAGCGCTCAGCGACCGCTACGTCTCGAGGATGGAGCCGTCGCGCGGACCCGACCGGCCGACCGGCAGTAGCAGCAGGCGCCGGAGGGCGCGGGAGGCAGCGGCGACACCTCGGGCCAGAAGCGCGAGCCCTAGGCTGGTGAGGGGGCCCGCTCATGCGTAAACGGCTCTGGGACTTAGCTAAATCACGCATCGAAATCGGGACGATTTTGCCAGGGCACCGTCACAAGGTGCTCCCGCCGTGAGACGCCGATCTACGAATAAAGTTGGTGCCGGTTGGCCTGGCGCGAGAGGGAGGCGTGATTTCTTTTTCGCTCGGCTGAAGCTCGAAGCAGTGCAGTGCGTAGAAGAAGGTAGCGCATAACGTGCGAAAATGCCACACCAGCCGAACTTTGTACTCTGCGCTTTCGATGGGGCTGGGATGCAGTGGGGATGATGCGGCGCGGTCCGCCACAGCCAACGCCTCTCCTTGGTCAGAGCAAGGCGGCTGCGTTCCGCGGCAAGACCATCGGCGCGCCCACCGCCGCAGCGGCCTCCGGCCCCTCGACCACCTAAGGAAGGGCTGCATCATGTGCCGCTCGTCATCTCGTCATCGCTGACCCCGCCGCCACCGCCTTCCTCCGAGCGCGCGCCTCCACGAGCTTGAGTGCGAAATCGATGGCGGTGCCGGGGCCTCGCGACGTGACGCACCTAGACGGTCGGGACAGCGTTGGGCGACGACCCGCTCCGGGTCAAGCGCGGTCTGACGTCACCACCGCCACTCGTCGTCGACGACCACCCGCATCGACAGGTCGGCGGCAGAGACGCCCGCCTAGAGGGGAGCGCTTTCTGGACGCGGGCCTCTGGTGTGCGTGGCAGCGGCGGCGGCGTGCGCGCCTCGGCCAGCGTCGACTCGAAGGCGGGGTGACAGGTGGCCTGAGGCGGCAGCAGCCCGGACGGCGCGAGGGCGACGGCGGGAGCGGCGCAGATCGCGCCATACCAGTTGCCCGCCTCTCGCTGCTTGCGAAGGCATGCAATCACCGACGCGTCCTCGCCCAGGCGTTCAGCGCCCGGCATGCCTCCAGGGATCGCGACCACGTCGAAGGAGACGAGCTTTGCCTCCTCGATGGTTGTATCGGCAAGGAGGCGCTGCCCGCGGGCGCAAAGCACAGGAGCGCCGTCTGCGACGCCGACGCTGGCCAGTGTGACTGACCAGCCCGCGCGCCGGAGGACGTTAACGATGGCGGTCGCCTCGAGCTCCTGCGCGGCGTCGAGCGGGGATAAGACCTTTAAGACTAGCTGTGTGAATCTCGATTGCTCGGCAGACCTCTGATCCCTCAGTGATTGGCACGAGCGCGCTCGGTGGTCCGGCCGTGGCGGTGGCGGTGGCGGCGGCGGCGCGGCTGGCGCGCGGGTGGTTCGCGTGGAGACCGAAAGCCGTGAGCAGAAGCGCACTCATGGCGGTGCCAGAAGAAAATACGTTGGGCGGCGCAGCCCATACCTACCTACCTATCGTTCGTCCCTGCTTCGCCACCTTTGCGCTTTGGTTCACGGCGTGGTTGTTGTTTGTTCCTCTAGTGAGTCTTGTTGCTTGAGCTTGTGAGCTTAACCTTGGTCTTAGACAGATCATAAGTCTAACCTTGGTTTTAGACAGATGCTCTCATCGGCTCAGGGCGCGCGCCGCCGCGAGTCGCTCTTGTCGCAGTTTGCGACATGGGCAAGCACGTGGCCGTGGCAGTCGTGCGGTGCACACCAGCAAGCGAGCACCTTGCCACGGAGCTCAGAGCGTGCCGCCCGCGCGACCAGCCCCGGGCGATCTGCAAGCCACGCTCGGTAGCCGGCGATCACCCGGGCGCGCTCACCGGAGAGTTTTTTTGGTCAGCTGGAGCAGATTGCCCCAGCCGCCGTCGATGGTGCAGCAAAGGAGCTGGCTGGAGAGCATGCAGACACAACCTGAAGCAACGTCGCAATATGGACATCAGCGAGATTGCAGCCAAGTACGGGATTGCCTATGGCCCGCAGCCATTGCACTACATTGAGAGAAGAAAAGAGCCGTGTTTGTTATGACCCCCCCCCGATGAACACACCAGTGAGGGAGGGCGAGACGATCGAGGGGTCCCGTACCATGCGGAATCGACCCTATCCAGTGCTCAAGTGCTCAAGAAGAAAAGAAAGTAGAGAGCTCCCCTAGACGAAACTCCCAATTTGCCCAAACTCGCCCGTCCCTTTGCGATACGGGACGATCGCAATCGGGTAGAGACACACATATATGCAGGTCGACGCGGCCGACGATGCGGCGCTCAGCGGTCGGCTGACGGAGCCTGGATCGCGCGTCTCAGAGCCAGACTCCTACTCCCCCGCCGGGCTTGGCACCGGGTGGCAGAAAGCGGCAACAATAGGTGCAGAGCGGGAGGCGCAACGCCCAAAGCCCGCCCTGGCGGGCCGTCTCTCTGGGCTCCTCGCCAAGTGCATGTCACGCGAGAGCGGGAGGCAGTCGTCTCGTGAGACGCTTACGTGGCGCCAGAGCCTGACGGAGGCCTCCAAGGAGGAGGCCTCGGCTTCGCGACCCGTCCGGGCCTCGGGAGCAGCGCGGAGCAGCGCCGCCGCCTTTTGCCGCATCTCGACGCCTCCATCCTCGCCATCCACGCGGACCGAAAGCTCGTTCGCGATGCCGGACGCAATGGAGCAGGAGGACGAACCGCCACGGCTCGTAATGCGACAGAACGCCCCCTTCGACGAGGCGCACGCACTCGAGGATGGTGCGAGCGACGAGGAGAGGCCTCACGACCAAGCGCTCGCAGCGGCAGAGATTGCAGCGCTGGAGGACACGGCCGCGGGATCGAAGGCGCGGCTCGCTCGCGCGGACAAGCGCACTCGGGCGCTGCGCGCAGCTGCGACCACGACGCTGCTGCTGGCGGACGACGGCTGGGCGCCGCTCGAGGGGGCCCTGCTCCAAGAGGCGCTCCTCGGTCGCGGCGAGGGCTCGAGCTGGGTCGTCGTGGCGCTGGGAAAGCGGGCGTCCTACCTGGAGCTGGATGGCGTGTCCCATTTTGTCGTGCAGTCTGACTCCTCCTCCGGCTTTGACGAGATGCTCCGCCATGCGGCGTGGGCGTCGCTCCCTCCCCTGCGCAACGTCGTGAGCCTTTGGTCGGCGCCCGAGACGGAGAGCCTGCTGGCCGCTCTACGTACGTCCCTCCCCGAGCCGCCGCCGCCGCTGCATCTCGTCACCGTGTCCAGAACCGGCGCCGGCAGGGAGGCCGCCGCCGACACCGTCGACTCGCTCTCGATGCCCAACCTGTCCACCAAGTCGGTGGCGTTTCCGTGGTCGCTCGCGCCCTCTGTCGAGGCGGCCGAGATCTTGAGCGCCCTCGAAGGGTTGGAGCCCCGCAGTGCCTCCGCCAGCGCACGGTGCGCAAGGTGGGCCCTCTTCCCTGGCGCGCTCCTTGTCGTCGTCCTGGCCGCGCTGCTCGCAGCCTTGCCCTATACGCCGGCATCGAGGCAGCAACACTTGGAGCGGGGTGGTGCGCGCCTCGCAGCCCTCCTTCCTACCGAGGCTGCCCCGAGCCTGACCGACCTGACGGGACTGACCGAGAAGGAGGCAGCGAGGGAAGGCAGGGCTGCACGAAGAGCGGCCAAGGAGGCGAAGGAGGCGAAGGAGGTCGCGGAGAAGGAGGCTGCTCGTGCGTCGGCCGCCGCAAAAGCGGCCAAGGAGCTAAAGGAGGCGGCGAGTGTGGCGGCTGCGAGAGCGTCGGCGGAAGCGGCGCCCGGTGAGGCGATCGCGGGCGCAGTCGCCCACTCGGACGCGGAGGGAAGCCGTGAGGCCCCTGCGGCCCAAGCACAAATGGCGGCGACCGCGCCGCAACGGGAGAGCGCAGCGGTGGTGGTCCCGCCAGAAGACGCGGCGGAAGGGGTGGCCACAAACGAGGCTCCGCAGACGGAGGCCACGGGTGGGCGGGCTCCGGCCGAGGACGCTGTCGCCGCTCCGGCCAGCGCCGGATCTCTCGCTTCTCGCCTCGAGGCGGCGGCCAGAGAAGCGGCGGAGAATGCGTCGAGGATGGCGCGCGCGGCGGAGCTCGAGGAGGCGAGGTGGGCCGCGAAGGAGGCCGCGAGGTGGGCGGCGGAAGAGGCAGCCGCGCACGCGGCGTCGAAAGCGGAGGCTGCGCGAAGGGAGGCGCAGGCCAGGGCTGCAGCGGTAACAGGCACGCAACCGCTGGCGCCCATCCGTAAACTCGCGAGGGCTGCCACCGCAGCCGCGAGGAGGCTCACGGGGAGGACCGCTTGAGGGGCGGGGGGCCGGGGCCGGCGGCGAGCGGCGCAGCGAGGGCAGGGGTGGCCGAGGTTCAAGGATGAAGGGGTTTCGGGCTGGCTGGACGGTTCCAAGCGCTGAGGGGTCCGAGGGGCATGTGCATGCATGTGGGGGATTCGAGCGCATCTGTCGTCTACGTTCGTCTGGAGGTCGACTGACGGATCGGGTGTCATCTCGGGCTGCCACCGCGAATTTTCTGGCGCAGGTGGCTGCCCACTGCCTATAATAGGATCATATAACCAACACAAAGAAAGAAAGAAAACAGACGTCGCCGGGAGCCGCAACAAGAAAAGAAAAGAGAAATTTACAACAAAGCTCCCTCGCACGACACTTGGCGGGGACTGGCGCGGACGGCAGAAAAAGAAAAACAACCCGCAATCAGAGAGCTGGCCATCAGCCCACTGTCCGGCCCCCTGACCAATGCCCGCTGTCGCTGCCTCCCTCGTCCTGATCCTCGGGCTGCACTCCCCGCCGGCGCTCCGGCCGCGTCCCGCCGTCTCGCGCGCGAGCTGTCCCGTCGCGGTCAGCATCCCGTTCGCACGCCCGTCCGTGCCAGCCTCGCCGCTCCAGGTCCTCTACGACGGGACCTGCGCGGTGTGCCTGACAAACAAGGCGCTGCTGACCTTCTTTGACCGCAAGCGCGGCCGCGTCTCCTTTGTCGACATCAACGCCTTTGGCGAGGGCGGCTACCGCGTCGGCGAGGGCGGTGGCGTCATCTCGCGCGACGAAGCGATGCGCCACATCCACGTGATCGGCCCGGGCGCGGCGGTCTCGTCGGGAGCCGACGCCGTGCTCTCGGCGTACGAGGCCGTCGGCCTCGGCTGGCTCGTCGCCGTGCTGCGCCTGCCGATCATCAGCCTCCTCATCCGGGCGGTGTACGCCTTTGTCTCAAAACACAGGCGACAGACGGTTTGCGCGCACGCGTGGTAGGGGCCGGTCGCCAACGCCCGGCGCACACCCGCCCCCTTCAGGTACACCCTCTCGAGGCTACTGCCCGGTTTTCTCACGCGGCGCCTCTTTGGCGCGGTCAACTCGCTCCACCAGATGGACTCTGCGGCGCAAGGTTTCGGGTGCGACGATGAGGAGGAGTGCGAGCTGCCTTATGACGATTGAGCGCCGGGAGGGAGGCCCTCCTCGCGTGCGGGTCGCCGCGGGAGGGTTGCGGCGGAGCAGTACTACTTTCTGCAGGCCCCTTCTCGTCGCGACGGAGACTGAGAGCATGCATGCTTGTCAGGCGGAGAGGCCTGTCCCCCGGGGGTGGTCCTCCCTTGCCGAGACCCGAACTCTACACGGCGAGACGGGATGAGACAAGAAAATATCGGGAAAAACTACCGTCAATTTCCTCTCGCCTCTCGGCGTCGAAAAAGAATTCGGGAGTCCGAGCACTCCAAAGACCGCTCCACAAATAAAAGGAGAAATTTTGGCGTTTTCGGTGCACTCTTTTGCGTCTTGGCAAGATCTTGGTACTTGAAAAAAAAATATTCCGCAAAATATTAGGACCACACCAGGCCACCACACAGGGATTTTAAGAGGAGGAGTGTGCACTTGGAGCGTGGTGCTAGCCGTCGCCCACCCTTGCGCCTTGGGGCTTGGGCCTTGCGCCTTGGGCGTCTGCCTCTTCCTATCGGCTATCTGGAGCACTTGGATTGCAGTCAGCACTTGGAGCACTTGGAGTGCAGTCATTGGCCTCACACCCAGGGCCGGGGAGCTACATGTACATGTTGTACGAAGCGCACTCATCAGTCCCTGCTCGGGCATTTAAGCGCCGTTTTCCACGTGCCCCCGCTAGACGCCGCACTCGGCACTCGAACACGATGTTCGAGGTGGGCGACTGGGGCGAGGAGGAGGCGCCGCCGCCTCCTCGTACCGTGGCGGACGCCGACCTCGAGGCGCTCCTCCAGCGGGTCGAGCTCTCGCCGGCCGAGGCGGTGGCAGCGGCGCCGGCTCGCGCCAAGCCGCCGCCGGCGCGGGTTCACGCCGCTCCTGCGGCTACACAGCCCCCCGCGGCGCCCGCCGGCCCGTCTGTCGAGCTCGGCTTTGCGGACGCGGGTCAGGCGCACCCGCGCTTCCCCTCCAAGGTTGGAGGGGCGCCCGTGTGGCTGCACCCACAGCCGCCGGGCGCACTCGCTTGCGCTCGGTGCGGCCGTGGCCTCCGCCTCCTGGTCCAGCTCTACTGCCCGCGGCCGGGGATGCCCCACGCCTTCCACTGCTCTCTGCTGCTCTTCTGCTGCGGCGGCGACTGCCTCGAGACGCCCGCGGGCTGGCGGGCGCTCCGCTGCGTGCTTCCCGAGGCTGCGCCGCTGGAGCCGCCGCAGGCCGGCGGCTCCGCCTGCTCCGACAGCCCGGACAGCCCCGCCTGCGGCCCCACGGCGGCGGGCGCCACGGACGCCGCCGGCGCCGCCGCCAGTCGGGCGCCGTTGCCGGAGCTGCCGCTGAGCATCGACGTCGAGGGCGACTGGGAGGGGTGGCTCGAGGAGTGGGACTGGTCTGAGGTTGCGGCGGCCGAGGCGGCGGCCGAGCGCTATCGCGCGAGGCATGCCGCTGACGCGGGCGCGGCGCCGGACGACGCGTTGTCGGAGGCGGAGCTCGGCGAGGGCGAGGGCGAGGACGAGGGCGAGGACGACGCGCTCGCGGCCTTCCAAAGGCGCGTGAGCGCGTGGCCAGAGCAAGTGCTGCGGTACTGCCACCACGCCGACGCGCAGCCGCTGTGGCTGTCGCGCCTTCGCCGGCCCGCGGAGGTGCCGCCGTGCGGCCGCTGCGGCGCGCCGCGCTGGTTCGAGTACCAGATCGTGCCCAACCTGGTGGCGTCGATCGAGCGGGCGGCGGAGGCGGGAGGCGCCGGGGACGCGGCCGCGCCAGAGGAGGCGCTCGACTGGGGCACCGTGGCCGTCTTCACGTGCTCCGCGTCGTGCGCGGCCACGGGCGAAGCCGATGCGTACGCAGAGGAGTACTGCTGGCACCAGACAGCGTGAGTGCGGCGAAACGAGGAGTCAGTTGTGCGTGTCCTAGGTGCGGTTGAACCCCCGACTTCGTAAATTCTTTTACTGGCAAAATACTTTTTCCGGCCCCTTCGCTCGCATGGAAGCCCAAGCAAGCTGGCCTCTGACTGATGACGCCCGACGCCCCGACGTCTCTTCTCGTGGAGTGTCCGCGCCTCTCCCGCCGGTGCCACCAGACGACTGCATTCTCCTCCTGCCCGAGGACCCGGTGATTGTTGCGCTCGTGCTGGGCAACTCTGCCGCCTGCACGGCCGCCGCGCTCGCCTCGGCCGGCTGCGCGCTCTCCTCGAATTGCCCGGCCGCATGGTGGAGGCTCCTGTACTGGGCGACGCTGCTGTGCGGGTGGCTGGTGCGCCGGCACCCGCCGCAACGCGCCACCGCGCCGCCACGCCGCCGGCACCACCACCACAGAGGCTCTCCCGGCCTCGCGCGCACTGGCCCGCCTGATACCGACCCACGTACCTCTCTCGCAGCTGCCCGAGGTCCTCAGCGTGGCGCTGCTCGCGGGCCAGTTCAGCGCCCTTGGCCGGTGCAGGGCGGCGCTGCGGTCGCGCCTCTTCTTCTACGCGACGCTCCTCGGCGCCGCTGCGTGCGCCCTCCTCTTCCTCCAGCTTCCGGGCGCGGGCGCCGGGCTGCTCTCCGCGGTCGCGGGTGGCGGCGGCCTCCTGCTGCTGGCGCTGCTCTTGGGCCAGGGCATGGTCGCCTTGCCGCGGGCGCTCTGGACGCTGGCGCCGTCCGACGAGTGGCGCCGCTCGCTCGCGTATGGCCTCGCCGTCGTCGACGCGGAGCACCGCGCCCGCGCCCGCGCGCTCGAGGACTGCCTGCAGCACGTGGACGCAGTCGTGAGGCTGGCGCCGCCGCCGCCGCGCGCCGGCGACGTGCGCAGGCGCGAGACGCTGCTCGAGTTGGCGGCGCTGGCGCTCTCCGAGCGCGCGCCCGCCGCGGGCGGAGCATCGCTGACGACTCGCCTGTGCGGCGCGCTTCCGACGCTCGCCGTCGCGCCGACCGGCGCGGGCTTGGCGCGCCACCACCACCGGCTGCGGGTGGCGTTCGCCGCCGAGCGCGCTGCGTGGCGGCGGCGCGAGCGCTGCCTCGAGCGGGCGTGCGCGCTGAGGGCGGCGCTGTCTGCCACGGAGCGCGGTTTTGGCGGTGCGGCCGTCCCCGCGCGGCGTGGCCTGTGGCTCGGCGCGCTGCGGCAGCCCGCCTTGCGCGCGGCATCTCTCGGGCTCGGGCTGCTGAGCGCGCTGCAGCTCTGGGGCGCCGCCTCGTGCGGCCTGACCGGCATCTCGGCGCAGCCGTCGCTCTGCGAGGAGCGCCCGGCGCTGCTCCGCGCCCTGCTGCTCGTCCACGCCGCGCTGTGCACCGCGTTCGCCCTCGCGCGCTCCCGGATGCTCACCCACCTGCCGCTCCGCTTCCCGCGCCCCGACGGGCGCGCGCTGCTCCAGACGACGGCGTGGAGCCTCCGCCTCGCCGCGCCGCTCGTGCTGCACGTGCTGCACAACAGCTCGCGCGGCGGCGCCGAGCGCGACCCCCTCGGCGGCGGCGGGTCGCACTACTACCACGGCCTCTGCGCACTGCTCACCCTCGCCGCCGCCGCGGTGACGGCCCGCGGCTGCTTCCTCCCGCTCCGGCTGCTGCCGTGCGCCCGGGCAGAGCAGCACGCCTACCCGGGCCGCTCGCGCAGCCGGCAGGTCGAGCAGGGCGAGGCGATCGCCGGCGACGCCGTGGGCGGCGACGACGCGCCGCCCGGCGCGCCGCGGCTCCCCGCGACCGCGCCGGAGCACTGGCTGCTCGCCGCGGCGCGGCCGGCGCGCAGCACGGCCGACGACGAGGCGGAGGCCGCGGCGGCGGCCCGGGCGCGCTGGCTCGAGCTGCGCGGGAAGCAGGGCGGGCCCGACCAGGCGAGCGCCCCCGCCACGCCCGCGGCGATGGCGGCGACCACCCCGGCCGAGACGGAGGAGGCGGAGGGCGGCGGCCCCACCGCGCCGTGGCCGCCGGCGCCGCCCGCCGCGGCGTCGATGGGGGCGCCGGGCGGGAGACGGTGAGCAGCTTTGGGTTTCGCGAGTAGCGCGCACGCAGCACGCAGCACGGTAGCCGGTAGTCCGTCGGGTAGCGACGCAAGAGGGGTCCAGAAGATACAGTGCGTTCTGGTTCCGCTCGATGTAACAGAAAGAGTTTTTGTCCGACGAATCGCGACTCCACGGACCACCGCCGCACACCCCGGCCCACCGCGCCGCGCGCGCGCGGCGCCGCCGGGCCCGAGGCCACGGGCCACGCCGCGCACCGGCCAAAACGCCAACGCAAGGGGTCTTGTCTGTGATCTGTGATCCGTGAGGGTCGGCCCGCAGGCGTCTTGTCTGTTGCCTCTTCGTGAGAAGGTCGTCCGATAGACCCCGCCGATAAAGCCGTACCGTGTGGAGAAGCCCATAAGCCATATATTACAGGACAGGCACCTTTAGACCTTTTGTGCATTGACCATTGTGGTGACCACTTAGAGTCCTTACACTCCCCGCAGTTCGCACCTGCCACCTCTTTTGAGCGACACTACGTTTCCGCAGCTGGGGATTCTCCGGGCTTCCCTCTTTTACCCGTGCTGGCCGGATTCCTCCTCTGAACAACTCAAGTCTCAAGAGAAGTTCGATCGGCCCCAGTCTCGAACACTGGCAGAGAAAGAAGGCAGAGCCGGTCTCAATCTCATCTTACCGGAGGTGCCGTACCAATGTCCGCGAAGAGGCCACTGGCCAAAAGCGCATGTCTTGAAGGTCCGACACTGCTAGCCCATAGGGCCCTTACTCCAACCCACCCACGCTAGGTCTCGGGGGACGCAGGGGTCACACCCGAAGACCTCGAGAACTAGTCGGGGCAGTCGGAGAAGGGGCAACTCCGTGCACTGACGGTCGGCCGTCAGAAAACACGCCTGCGTGGATCGCGTCACACCAATCCTCGCTACCCAACGCAACCAAAGGATATCCACCTCGAGAACCTCGAGAGTCCCGCGCTTGCTTTTTACTTATCGAGAACGACCTTGGGGGGGCCCTAGACTTAAAAGTGGGTGGGCCCTGGGGCGCCTGCGGCTTAAACGGCTTAAAACGGGCCTAGGCCCGTTTTAAGGCTGCCTGGGCCGCCGATTCCTTAAACGGTCTTAAACGCTTAAACGGTGCGGGAGAGCTCCCGAGGTCGATGGTCCCGGAGGAGCTCCCGGTAGACGCCGGAGGCCGGGTAGCTGGCTACAATCAGCTAGCCTAGCAGCTAGCACGCGTCCCCTATTATAGTATGGCTCCTGCCAGTGCACCAGACTTACAGATGTGTCTTCAGAGGGGCGGGTTTTTGTGCCTAATAACGGCAGTGTTGGAGAAAACGGCGCGGAACGCAGCGACGCATGCCGGCGAGGCCGATTTTCTTAAAAATACTTAAAAAAGAGATACCCGCGTGCCTGCAATCTCTTAAATGGCAATTTACCCCCCCCCCCCCCCCCCCCAAATCCGGCCTCAGAACCCTAGGGGTACCGGGGACGTGCACGGCGGTTCACCTTGTCACTCCTTGCGGAGATCACCTGTGTCCCATGCAAGCCGTCGGCATCGTCGTATCGGCGGAGTACTGCCCGATCGCGGCTCTTCTCGGTGATAGCATCGACGACTCGTCGGTCATCGGCGGCTGCGCGTCTCCTCCTTCCCGCCTCGCCCTCGCCACGCTCGACGTGGACTTGCACTGCAGGGCCGCGATTGATGCTGAAGCTGTGACTTCTCCGCGTCCGTCAAAGCGCGTGTGCCGCGGCCTGGAGACGCCCTCGAGCCCGCAGCTCTCGCAGATGGCCCTTCTGCTAAACAGCGATATCGGGCCGGGCCTCCTCAAAACCCTCTTCTTGAAAGCGGCGCCGCCGCCTCTGCCGCCGATCCAGATCAAGCTGGGGGCTCACCCGGCGCCCAGCGGGTCGCGAAAGGACAAGCCGCAGCGATGCTCGCGATGCGGCGGCCTCGGCCATAAGGCGAGGACCTGCAAGCACAGCAGCTCAGGCGTGACCGCCGGTGTGTAGCCAGAGCTCCGCTGAGCTGTGGCGCCGGCGGTGCCGCAGCTCCGCAGGCCCGCGGGCCAACCCATAACGTCTCGGGCTATCATATGCGCGCACCCACGGTGTCTCACCGCTGCAGCGGTGTGAGTCCCAGGCAGGGTCATGTCGACGCCATCCAGGCAACGTGTATGAGCCGCCCCCACATGTAGAGAGGATTAGTTAGAGTGTGTTTGCACTGTGGCACACACGCTGACGCATTCCATGCTTAGTCTAGACGGCCGTGAACGTTTGTTTCTTCATTGTATAATGTCATTTGAGTGATGTTCTCCACAAACAGCAAGAGCAAACTTCCAAACCGCAAAAACACCTCGCGACTCCCGCGTCCCGCACCCGGCGTCCCGCGTCCCGGGAACGGGGAACCCCAACCCGCGCGGGAACACCGATCACCCTCACCGAACACACCCCGCTCGTCGCACACCGGATCGACGTATATACAATGCACTCTCTCTCTCTCTCTCTCTCTCTCTCTCTCTCTCTCTCTCTCTCTCTCTCTCTCTCTCTCCCTCTCTCTCTCTCTCTCTCTCTCTCTCTCTCCCTCCCTCCCTCCCCCCCCCCCCCCCTCTGCTGACTGATCTCTCTCTGCTGTTCCGGATCGCGATTTGAGGAGAGAGATGTTTTGTTTTTTGATTTGAGCATTGAGGCGGAGATAGAGAGAGAGAGGGTGGATGAGAGGTGTTTTGTTTTGTGGATGGGTGGGTGTCTGTGCACGGTGGTAATGGGTGGGTGGTGGCTGGGTGCCACCCACGCGAGCCGCCGTCGGACGTGCGATTCCAAGCTATTTTTTTGCTACGAGTAGCAAGGAGGTTGGGACGCGACCAGCGCTCGCTCCAGCGCTCGCTCTTCGCCGCCGTGCCTCTCTACCGCCGCGCCTCTCCAGCGGAGCAAAATGGGCGCCCTGATCTCCGCCCCAGTCGCGTGCATCGGAGGGATGTGCGCGTCGTGCGTCGGCTCGTGCGCCGTCGGCGCGCTGTGCAAGTGCTGCACATGCCGCTGCCTCGCCTCGCCGTTCAAGACGAACGTGCTCTACTGCCTGATCCTCTTCGTTGCCACCACCGTCGCCCTGGTCCTCCGATACTCTGAGCAGGACATGGCGGTCGACACCTGGTCTACTCCCGGCTCGGCGTCATACACCCTCTGCGAGGGCGGCCGGTGCGAGGGCAACTGGGCAGTCTTCCGCATCTCGTTCACTCTCTCCTGCCTCTTTCTGACGATGCTGTTCCTGACGTGCAGCGAGTCCAAGGCGGCTGTGTTTGCGCACCGCGGCTTCTGGCTCGCCAAGGTCATCGGCGTCATCGCTGTCGGTGCCACCACCGTCTTCATGCCCAACGACGCGTTCGCCTACTACGCTTGGATTGCCCGCTTCGTCGCGCCCGGCTTTCTCGTGTACCAGGTGATCTCGCTGATTGGATTCGGCTACTCCGCCAACACGGCCATGGTGGAGCGCGACGATCAGGCACCGCCCGCGCCGCTCCTCTGCATCAGCAACTCGGGCGGCAACGTCTGGAAGGTGGCCAACCTGCTGCTCTGCCTCCTCCTCTACGTGGGCATCCTGACGGGCATCGGCCTGCTGTACGACCGCTTCCCGCAGAGCGGCTGCTCCTTCAACCCGCTGGCTGTCACCACCACGCTCCTGCTCGTCCTCCTCAACACCGCCCTCTCCGTCTCGAGCATCGCGCCGCACGCCGCCCTCCTCACCTCCGCCCTCGTCTCCGCTTACGGCACGTGGGTCTGCTACGGCGCGATGGCTGCGATGCCGTACGCCGAGTGCAACCCGCTCGCAAATAGCCCGGGCTTCGTCTCCTCCGTGGTCTCGATCTGCATCGCCACCGGCACCGTCGCCTTCCTCACCTTCAGCGCCGGCCGCCGCGAGACGGCGAAAATGAGCGCCAAGGAGGTGGCGACGAATGCGGGCCAGCTGGCGCCGGCGCCGGCTGCGGCGCCCGCAGCGGCGGACGCGGTCACCGTGAAGGTGGAGGGCGAGGAGGCCCGCGAGGACCCGCTCGATGAGGTGGCGCCACAGTCGTACCGCGGCTACTACTTTGTCATGCTGCTCCTCTCCTTTTACCTGGCCATGCTGCTGTCCAACTGGGGCACCGCCGCCGATGGCGAGGCCGACGCCGAGCTGCTGAACGGGTCGTACAACGCCTCGCTCGCGTCGGCCTGGGTGCAGCTGACGTCGGGCTGGCTGTGTGCGCTGCTCTACCTATGGACGCTCGTCGCGCCGCGGCTGCTGCCCGACCGCGACTTTAGCCGCGTTTGAAGCGAGCTGCGAGGCCCGGCGGCTGGACCTGTGAGAGCGCCTTTAGCCTGGGATCAGGATAGTTTTTAGAGCACTGGACACTGGTTCCTATCCTTAGTTCCTTCAGATTACTGTGCGTTTCAGATAACGATTAACGTCAGACCATATTTGCTACCTATGTTGAGTAAACACAACCAAACATTCAACCGTGGCCGCGCACGCACGTGTGTGTGTACGCACAAACTCGCACATGGCTGACCGTCACCCACGGCCGAGCAACTCGCCTCTCGCGGCGCGGGAGACACCGACCGGCAGACGCAGTCCGCACAAGAGATACTGGCGACACGCATGTGCCGCAAGGCGCAAGCGCATCGCGGCTCAAGCCATGGCCATTGGCCGCAACAGGTCCACCTTCGGGTCCTTCTCTCACACGCGGTAGCCGCTTCACAGCATCAGGGCTTCTTGTCCCCTCCCCGCGCTGGGCCGCTCGCCGCTGGGAGCTCATACACGTCAACCTTCAACACGAGCCTATTTTGGACGCCGCCCTGCTGGTCGAATCGCACCTCGGGCGACTTGTGCACCAGCGCGTTCGACGCCTTGATGGACCGAGCCGTGCCGTGCGGGAGCGGGAAGCGGGTACCCTTGATCAGCAGCAAGTCGCCGACGGCCACGCTCTCGACGAGCTTTGGGTCGCGGATGATGCACTTGTTGTTCCCGCAGTGCTGCAACTCCCAAAAGTCCACGTTCCCCTTCCTCGTGTACTCGGTGCCCACCACGCCCGTATAGCTAACGATCCCGCGGCCGACAAAGTTGTCGCAGTGCCACCGCGAGCAAACGTTCTCGCCAAAGAGCTCGAGCTTGACGCTGAGCTGCCGCACCGCGGGGCAGAGCGCCTTCCACGCGCGTCCCAGCGCGCAGGCGTCCTCGTGCAGCTGGCGGCTGATCGGGTCTGGGAGCCCGGCGCCGGAGAGCAGCTCAACGACCGCCGCCGAGAACCGGCTAGCCTCGCTGGGAGCGGTGCACGTCAGGCCCCTCTCCGGCCAGCGAGAGCACGCCTCATCGATGGCGCTCTGGAACTCGTCCCACCTGCCGTCGAAAGGCCGCGCCGCAACGAGGCCGTCGTACTGCGAGCTCTCGGCCTGGGCCCAGCGCGAGATGTCGTCGGTGGTGAAGAGCGCCGTTGTGTCGACTCGAGAGTGCGCTCCGCCTCCAAACGGCGGCAGCCACGAGCCGGGAAGGAGCGAGGTGTGTGGCAGCAGCATGTTGCTAGTTCGGTGGCGGGCTGTCGATGAACCCAAAGCGTGCTAGACCGCAGCAAGTGAAAAAAACCTGCTATGTCTCTTTTGAATCTTTGGCCCCGTTTGTGCCGCGTCCTGTGCCCCGAGTTCATTTAATAAAAATGAATCTTTGGCCACCAACCACGAATTCTCTCAAACAACAAATTCTCTCTCCACCCCTCCTTCCGCCACGCTCTCCAAAAGCTCCCCGAGCATCTCGCCCTGCTCCGGCCACCGGCTGCCCCGCGTGCTTTGCGCTGAATTCGACAAACAACACTGAATTCGTTGCGTGTGTTTCGCCGCGTGGACTTGTTTCTTGTTACGTGAAACCCGAGGGTCCGCGGAGTCCCGGACGCCAGCACACACGGCTAGATATCATGGCGGGCCGCCTAGGCCCTGTGATCGGAGGTAGAGTCGGTGATCGCCGTTTCAGTTTCCCGGTTCTCTTGTTTAAAAGAAACTCCAGGATTGCTCAGAGGGTGCTCGGTCCCGCCCAACCTTGTCTGTCTTGGTCGCTGCATCTGCTAGCCCATCTCTCCTGCGCTAGCCCTACTGCCCCAACATTAACAGCATGCTGTGTGCCGTCGTCGTCGCCCTCGCTGCATTCCACGGGTCGGCCATCCACACGTCCAAGGTGGCGCCGCACATGGCTCTCGATGTGCCCGCGTCTGCGCCGGTTCGCACATCGTATGCGGACCTCGTGCCCCACAAGAGCGCTGAGCAGGACAAGGTCAGCCTCGGCGACGGCTGCGAATTGTGTGGCGGTATGGGAGGCTGCCCTGTGTGCTCGACGCGGGCGGCGCCTGCTGGGCGCCGCATCTTTGACCTGGGCTCGTGAGTCTACGGTCGCCGGCGCCTCTGCGTGGGGCTATCTCTCTGCTTGGGCGACCTCTCCACCTCCACTCCGGCGGACGGAGGTGTTGTATTAGCCGAAGTCGGCGCCAGGCGCGATGCGCCGCGACAGTTTTGAGAGCTGTTCTCTGGCGGGACGGCTGCTACACTGTACACAGTGTCTTGTTGAGCGCGGTATTAGCTGCAAGGCGACCAACGCGATGCTTCTCAAGGTGAATCAGATCGGCACCATCAGCGAGGCGATCGCGGCGTACAAGCTCTGCGTTGACCAGGAGTGGGGAGTTTTCGTCAGCCATCGGTCTGGCGAGACGGAGGACTCCTTCATCGCCGACCTCACGGTGGCTCTCGGCACCGGGCACCTCAAGACGGGCGCACCGTGCCGCTCCGAGCGGCTGTGCAAGTACAACCAGCTGCTCCGCATCGAGGAGGACCTCGGCTCGAACGCAATCTTCGCCGGAAAGGACTTTCGTAAGTCTGGGAGGTTCTAGGCACTCCTCGCCTGTGTCCAGTGGCAGTCCCCCGACCTAATCCGATGAGAGAGAAAGCGATATTAACGCGAGTAGCCGGACCTGAGTGAAGAACAGTCAGAAACAAAACAGACAACCCAAACGAGGGGGATGGGACGAGGACAGGGTCCCCACCTGTGCACGAGCACGATTTTGGTTTAAAAGTCTGGATTGGGGCCCAGCAAAAAAGAAACCAGTTCCACTTGCGCGCAGACAGCTCGCCGCCAAGCAGATAGGAAGAGGCGGACGCCCAAGGGTGGGCGACGGCTAGCGCACCACACACACCCCTCTCCTTAAAATCCCTGTGTGGTGGCGGCGTGCCGTTCTCCCATCCCTCCGTTGGGTTGTCTGTTGTGAGAGGGGCTTGTATTAGTACATGTAGAATTCTTTCTTTCTTTGTCCCGTGCCCAAGAAAGAAAGAAAGAAAACAGACAACCCAAGGGATCCCGTGCCCAGTGTTGTGCGAGGGCGAGTTGTAAAATTCTTTTTCGCGGCCAAGCATGAGCGACGCCTACTCCAAGCTCAAGGTGGCGCAGCTAAAGGCCAAGCTCAAGGAGCGCGCTCAGTCGGGTGCGGGCGAGAAGGAGGATCTCGTCCGCCGGCTGCAGCTCTGCGACGCTGGCGACAAGCACGCCTTGCCCGACGGCCGCAACCCCACCACGCTCAAGGCGGCCGAGTTCCGCAAGGCGCTCGCGTCGCATGGCCTCCCGTGCGATCTGTCGATCAACACCCGCGACGAACTGATGCAGAGCCTCATCGACGCGCTGAAGTCTGAAGGCGGAGGGACGTCGGCCGAGGCTGGCTCCTCGGCCGGCGGAGGGGGCGGCGGTGAGGATGCCGACGAGCTGGCGACGCGTCTCGCCCTCCAGGTGCTGGAGCTGGGCGAGGCCGGCAACCCCGAGGGCGTGTTGTCTCTGCTCGGCGCCGCAATCACGCGCGCAACGCCATTCGCCGCACAGCGCAAGGCGTACCTCAGCCTCGCGCGCATCATCCACCCCGACAAGCTGCCCAAGCTGGGCCAGGCGACCAAGGCGTTCCAGCACCTCGTGCGCGCCTTTGAGGTGCTCACGGCGCCAGAGGCGCCGCCGCAGGCCGCCAAGGCCGCGGCGAGGGCACACACCGCCATCTCTCGCTCCAACGACGGCTGCTTCAAGACGCATCTCTTCTGCCCGCGGTGCAAATCGCAGTGGGGAAGCGCCGACTCGGGCGTCATGGACTTCGGCGCGCCGCCAGCCTCTCTCCGCCCTCCTGCTGCCTTCGGATCAGCGGCCCTCCCACTGCCAAGGCTGCTCTCGCCCTCACACCGCCGCTTCCGCCCCCCCCCTCCTGCCGCGCCCAACAGACTACAACTTCATGATGCAGGGCCTCAAAGTGTACTGCTGCGCCCTCTGCCTCTGCGACTTTGGCTGCATGACCGCCGAGCACCGCTGCCCGCTCTGCCGCAAGCCGTTCGAGTACCACCCCCGCGACTACCACCGGCAGGTCACCTGCGGCAACGCGCGCTGCTCCGGCACCTTTGGCTTCTGGCTCTACCACGTGCCGGCCCGGGTGCGTCCCTCCGCCGCCTCCGCCTCCGCCTCCGCCTCCCCACGCCGCGGCCCTCTCTCGGTCAGGTGGAGGACGACCTGCGGCAGGAGGCGAGGAAGGAGCAGGAGCGGCAGGCCAAGCAGCGCGAGGCGGCGGCGGCGCGTGTCGCGCGCGCGGCGCGCAAGGGCACGGGCGGCGCGTCCGAGGCGGAGAGGCGCGCGCAGGGGGAGAAGCTCTTCGTCGCTGGACTGCTCGACGCGTGCCCGCGCTGCGGCTTCGAGCCTCCGCCGGGCGTGAGCAGGGAGGAGCTCGCCGAGCACTTGGGGTGCTGCACCGACAAGAAGGCGCACGCCGCACACGCGGCGGCGGTCGCGGCGGCGGGCGAGAGGAGGGCGAAGAAGGCGGAGGCGAGGGATGCACAGGCTGAGGCTCAGAACCTGGCGGTGTGGCAGTTTCTGGGTGGCGACGACTCGCAGGCGTGGCTGCTCACCGACACGCAGGTCAAGAAGCAGTGCGAGGAGCGGGGACTGGCGACCGACGGGACGAAGGAGGAGATGCTCGCGAGGATGGCGTCGCACGCCTCGGGGCGGAAGATGCTGACGTCAGGCGGCGGCGGCGGCGGCGGCGGCGGCGGCAAGATTTCCGCGGCGGCACTGCCCTCGAACCTGCACTCGATGTCGCTGCCGCAGCTGCGGGCGGTGTGCGCGGCCAACGGCCTCACCCCGCGCGGCGACTCGACATCGGACCTTATCCATCAGCTCGAGGCATCGGCCTACGCCGGCGAAGAGGCGGTCCTCCTGCTCGAGGAGCCGGCGGGGCGGGGCGGCGGCGCCGGCCGGAGCGCGCGGGGGGCGGCGGCCAAGCCCAAGCGCAAGACGCCTTGCGACGACGGCGACGACGGCGACGAGTCGGATGGCTGGCAGCCCGAGGAGTCGTCGTCACGCCGCAAGCGCGCCGCCGCCGGAAAGAGCTACAAAGAGGAGAGCGACGACGACGACGAGTGAGCAGAGAGCGAGGCGGACGCGCGGCTGCGGACTGACGGTCTCAGGGCGGAGCCGTTGCGAACTACGCTCTATGGACCTAGTTCATCTGCCCGGCGTGTGGCGAGTGGGCCTGCGAGTCCGTGGCATAATCTTGGTGACCGACCTGCACAGACATATGCATAGAGGTTAGTACAGCAGAGTACCAGTAAAAGTACGAACGACGTAAACATATGCGCAACACACTACACAGGCGCACAACTCTCAACTCCTCGGAATGTCGCGCCCAGCCCGCTTCATGACCCCAAGAGATTTTGAGGATGAGGTAGTGATGCGATGGCTAGTTCCATTTCACTCTGTCTCTGACACGCTAATCTTGTTCTTAGCGTCTCCAACGGAGCTCCGTGTTGCTTCCAGCGCCCTCCCCCGCGCTCCCTGCGGCCATGGCCGATGCTCCTAGGAAGAGAGGTCATCTGGCTACCGCGAGGCGCGAGAGCGACCCAAGTCCCAACTCGTCGACATCGTCCGATGATGGTGCCGCAAAGTCAGCCTTCCGAGGCTATGAATCGTGGGGTCGAGCCGGCAGTAGCCGTGATATGTGGTTCCACCACCCCTTGTAGGCTTTGCCTCTGACCGCGCGCCGTTTTCCCAGGCTGCCTACCGTCGAGTAATGGGATAGAAAGGAAGGCTCGGCGAGCGTTAGAAGCGTGCTCGACCTTGTCGTGGCAGCCTGCACGGCAGCGCTGGCAGGCGCGATGAGCATAGTGCCACTTGACCGGAGACGGGTCGCAGGCGTCGTACCGAGCGCGTCGAGACCGAAGACCGTGTCCTGATGAGATCTGCACGGGTGAGTCACGTCGGCGTCAAAGGAGCGACGTGCGACCTGTCAGAGCTTGATCTCCGATCTCAGCAGCGTCGAGTCGTCCCCGGCGGCGACACTATTGTCCCTCCCCAGGACGCGCAGAGGCAGCTGCGATCCAGCCGAGTGGACGGTGGCACACACCGCGCCACCTGCTCGGAGCGGCCTGCTGAGCAGTGAGCTGACAGCTGTGCGCCGCCGTCTACTCGGCGGGGTCGCAGCTGCCTCTGGAAGGCACCGCGAGGGACATATTAGTGCGCAAATGGTCAAAATCAAGGTTTTGTAACGCGAGCTGTGCCACAGTGAAATGGAACTAGCCGATAGGGACATACGAAGCGAGGCGCGGGGGGGTCCGCGCGTCCGGGGGAGGTGCGCGGGGAGCCGCGGCGTCGGGGCGGGGGGCGCGGCGCCATGTCGCGCGCGCGCGAGTGGCCGCCGGCCCGCGGCCCGGTCCCCCCCGGCGCCTGTTTTTTTTCTTTTTCGACATGCCCGGTGGCTAGGTGAACAGTATGCTTGAAATGTACAACTGAGGCTTCAAACGACTCTCTCGCTCCGGCGAGTCCTCTATACGTGTATTTCGCGCGCGGGGAGAGCGATCGCTCCTGGCGCTGCGGTTTGGGCGGGCCCGCACGTGCGCTGCGGTAAGCCGAAGCCTACCCGCCGCGCGCCTGCCTGCTCTGTGGCGCGTCGGCCGCCCAGAAGAGCTCCTCTGCGTCGAGCTCGCGCGGCGAGTTGAGCCCCTTCATGAAGACCTTGGAGCCGCGCGCGAGGTTGATGGTGCGCTGCCGCCGCTCCGGCAGCTCCGAGACGGGCACCTCGACGAACCCGCGCTCGGTGAACCACTGCATGGTTCGCGTCGAGAGCGCAAAGAGGCGCGAGACGCCCGCCGAGATGGCGGTCCGCTCGAGGAAGGAGAGCATCGAGTCGCCGCGGCCCTCCTTGCGGTAGCGCGGCGAGACGACGAGGCAGCCTGCGCCGCAAAAGCAGTGTGGCCGACCGAGGCGTGGGGCGGGCCCGTTGGGCAGGGGCTCGGTTGGGGTTCGGGCTGGAGTTTTGGGCTTGTGTTGGGGTAGGGGCTGGGGCATGGCACACTGTGTGGGGTTGGGGGTTGGGGTTGGGGGGGGATGGCTGGCGTGTGGGGAGCGCGTGCCAAGCTCCGCGCAGTCGAGTGCGTAGCGCTTCAGCATCGCACAGGCGAGGATGTTGGCGTCGCGCGTGAGGACGTAGTAGAAGCCCTGCGCCGGGGGCGGCCGCACAGTGGGGCCGGCACAAGAGAGGGGGTGCGTTCTCCGAGACCCTGCGCATGACTGCCCTCTGCTCCTCGGAGTCTTGCTGCCGTCAACGCTGCAGAGTCTCTCTACGGCGTGAGCTCTGGGCCTCCGAGTTCCATGCCCGAGTAGGACTTGGATGCCTGCCTCTCGCAGACGCGCAAGACCCCACTGTCTGGGTAGTCCCCTGGGGCGGGAAGCGCGGGCGGCCTGGCGCCTGGTGCACGTCCCTCGTGAGCTCGTGCAGCGGCCGCGGGATGAGCACGCCCTGCTCCTCGAGCGGCGCCGTCAGCTCGGCGATGCCCGGCACGTCGGCCGCGGTGGCGATGCGGATGCCTGCAGCGTGCG